TTGGCGGGAACAGTTACGAAACTGTACGCGCCGCACGGTTGGGGATGTATTTGAATAAGGGAATGTACCCCTTAGAGTACATGGCTAGCTAGGTCGTTTCGTCTTCCCTGTACTCATATTTATTTTTCATGTATTTGCATGTTTTAATTATCTCAAGCATTTTACATTCACTCTGCTATTGAGGTCAAGGGCCCACCAACTTTACTTTTCTGCGTGCGAACCTTCCTGGGTAGATCCTAGGCCACGATCAACTTCTGATCGCAGCATCGGCATTGGAAATGTAGGCCGAGCATGCGAAGTCCGAACTGTCGGGGTTGTACGCGTAGCAGTCAACTAATCTGCTCATGTAACACCTAATATGGATTCATTCCTCGTTTGTGTGGTCATCGTTGTCACTCATAGCGCGTACTGACAGGCTTGTTCCTAATCGACGATTCTGCTGTCCACTAGGGCAAGCCAGCACCCATCTGATGGCTGGGCTGGGTGGGTCAGAATTGACGTGGCATGTTTTGTTTGTGCATCCGAATCGCAGCTTTCTCTCCCTGCGCTTCGGTTACAGTTCCGTACAGATAAGCAATGACCCTGCGAAAGGTTGGTGTTGATAAGTCCCTGAGGCGGGCCACAGGTGCAGTGTGTTGTGTTTGCATGATTTTCATTTGTTGGTAATTACTGAACGAAACTCGACATACAAGGGTAGTTGGAACAACGCAATCGAGCTTCTTCGTCTTCGGAATGTTAAATAGTTCGTGAATGAATGGTGGAGCTCACCAATGTCAGCCGAGGTTATTCGGTATCTTCTGCCGACGATATACAGTTACAACTCGTAACGCGTCGACATGGCAGGCTAGGCTAGTTTAGTGAAAAACAGTCTTGTGCCCCCCGAAAAGAAAACGTGCACTGCACCACTCACTACCTTTTTGTAGGCTGCTGATTATCATTATATCAGAGGAGGTCAGCTTGCTTGCATGAAGGCCGCATTGGAGCATCAATCGCGTCCATGAAATTACGCACATAATCTTCACAGAATACAACGATACAAATACCATCTTGTGGGACTTCGGCGCTCAAAAAACAATTTATTGCGCACATTTTTTGTGGTCGGAGTCCGAAAAGATGGTCGAGCTTAAAGTGAAAACTTGCTTTGCCAACCTCGCTAACGCGGCATTGCAGATTTTGCCAATGTCACAGAGAAATTAGGAAACAAACATGCTCATTGAACAATGTTAGATCACACGATTGCATGCTTGCGAACACATTTCGCCATGTATGCACATTTGTACACGTTTGAGAAAGTTGCCAAAGCTGCGAAACAGAACATCAATGTCGTGCGCGCTACCAAGTTTATCGTCAGATTCAAGGCGCCGCAAGTGAAACGTGAAAAACGTCGTTGGCAAACCAAATAATCTACGAAGTTTATGAGCGATTCAGGACCTACCCTATAGCTCTAACTTAGATGGTCAACCTTGTTAGTGCAATATGTTTGACATGAGAGGTGAAGAGATGACTTGGCTTTCAAACCCAAGTTCTACAACCTAGGCCAAAGGACACGCGCCTTTATCTGTGCATATGGGCAAATTTATCCTTTCAACGACCTCACGAATGACCAGATCCCGCCAGATGGTATCCGCGTGTCTACCGGTCACGAAGTTCCTACTTTACCGAGTATCAGCTGTACACTTGTTCTCAGAATGATACAGTGCGAAGTTGCTGAATCAGATTTGTTTTTTTCGGAGCATTCCATTTTCTCGTTGTGATACGTGGGTTCGATTTTTGTTGCTGCACTTGCCTCGTTTCAAGGCCAGGTAGCACTGGTTGGTAAGGATCGCAAATATCCGTGAACTGAAGTTTTCCTAATCTGTACTCTCCTGACACTGCCGGAAAAGTTTAAACTGTCGGTGGCATTCCCGTATGGACCCGAAGGAGCTGAGCTGACACGCAGGCCTGTACGGGAGACCCACGCGATTGAAGGGGAATCGACAACCAATTCACCAAAGTTTGAGACAGAAACAAGCTTGTCGAGGGGCAAGAAATGTGTATTCCCTAGAAGACATCTACCAACCATACCACTTCGACAGAACACCCATCTCCTCCACCACAAGGCCCGCATCCCATCACATCGCTCTCTGCCTCCCACTCATTTCCCCCCTTTCCAGTGCCCAGCCCAGCCAACCAGTCACTGCAGCATTCATGTGGACAGCCCCAGTTACGCGTACAAGCACCAGCCTGTTGTCTGCTCTGCACTTGTTTCTGCCATTCGTGCGCCGCTCCCTTCGTATGTGCGCAGCGAGACGAACTCCATTCGCCTCCAACCCCAAATCACCAGAGCTGTCTGAGATGGAAACCAGCCTTTCACGCTTGGCCGCAAACTATCACTCCACGTTTTACAAGCTTAGACACGTACCCCTTCCTGATAGTACCCGTGTGTTACCTCCGACGGTTTAATTTTATTCCACGAGCTGCCGATCCTTGCAATCCCCGTCCTTACTAGGGAAGCATGAGAATACACAAACCGCTGAGCAGCTAAGATAGAGCTACGAGGCCCTTACTTTCTGACTTGCACGAGATTTTAACGTACGTAATACCACAGTCTCGACGGACAATCAACGAAAATAACGTACATCGTACCGCGTACATAGTATCATGAGGGACAATCAGCGATATCGCTCCCGGCGCTGTCCAAAGGCGTCGCATCGATCGTTCACGCTAACCAGGCGGACGTCGTCGCATTGCTGCTCGACGGTTCTGTTCGTCGCATGTGTAGCGTTGTCTGTAGCCCTTCCTCGCACACGAGCCCAAGCAGTCGCCGACAGTCAGCGTAAGCCACACCCTATCACAACCTCCGCAACTCCAAGCGTGCCACGCACCAGTGCATAGCAGATGAAATGGCTCTTTATTTTTTAAGAGTAGAAAAATTCCCTCGATCTGCGGCGTTCGCTCACGCCCCACCGTCCACAGGCATTGTATGGAAGACTCCTTTGTGAAAGATCTGATGCTCTAGTAGGTATTGCAGTCGGTTGCTCCTAGCGTAGCTATTTTACTGCGCAAGCTGTTACTATGTAAAGAGTGTTAAGACACTCTCAACAACCCTTCGACTCAAGGCGGTTTACCACCCACACAACCCCGTCCCCCCCCCTTTGCGCACTGGGCAGGACCGGCGCTGGCGGCGATAATGGACGTGTGGGGCGCGGCGCTCAATCTGAACGCCACGTGGTTCGTCATGCCGACCTGCGCGCAATGGCAAGGGCTCGCCTGCAACGCTATGGGCCAAGTCACCTCCTTGTGCGTCTCGCCCGCCTCCCTCTTTTAAGTCCGCGATAGCCGCACCCTCTCACCTTTCACCACACCCAAGGAGTGCGTGGCTTCACCTCCCAGTGGATTGACTAACCTCCCTGAGCGATTCCTTCACCTCTCTGTCAACCGAGGTCACGACTCTCTGCGTGAGCATTGAAGTCACTCGCGCGTCCAAGCTCAGCAGCATCTCAGCTCCGTTTGCGCGAGGCGCGCTGGTAGCCGCCTTTCTCGCGAGGCTTCGCCGTTCCAACGGCGCGGCCGTCCGGGTAGTAGTAGGGCAGTCGATGGTGTCCTTTCCGAACGATAGCGCACGGAGACTGCGTACGTGGCAGACCGCGCGAGTGGCAGAGTGCCTCCCCGCGCACGCTTACTGCGCGCCGTTAACGTTACTACGTGCCGCCGTGTCTCTTGGCAGAAAGTCCGACAGTAGATACGATATAGCGGCGGGAGGAAGAGGATGCAGCCGTCGCTTTTTAGACCGCGCTCGCATGTTACACGCTCCCCCCCAATACGGGTCGCGAGCCGCTACTAAGTTCACCTGACAGGCCGCGGCGTCCGCTTTGTAAGATATACTACGCCTCCTCCCACCGACGCTGTTCGCATCGTCACTACCAGCGTCATCTGTACCGTCGGAGTCGTTAGTAGAAGTACCCCGCAAAACGGAAATAAGGATAATCCGACGTCGACATCGCGGCGCAGATTTTCTTAAAAGTCGCGCCGCTCCCCTCGTGTAGCTCCTCGGACCGCCGCCCTTCTCGCGTCGTCGAGACCGACTGACAGTGGTTCTGACGGCGTCATCTAAATCGTCGTCCGACTCTGTTATTAATTTTAAAAGTCGTTATTACCCGGCGAACGGAAGAACAGGGCGGAACCGCCGCTGCTCCTTTTAATCCGCAAACTGCGCGTGCTTTCGCGAATATCTGACCTCGGGAGTCGCTGAAACCGGCTACTGCTAATACAACTACTACTAGTGCTACGTAACGTGGTGCTCTGTCCACGAAACATTGCAGCAGTGATTTCGGCGATTCCTTGCAGGAATGAGTCATTCTAGTTTCGATAGTTTGTAGAAACGGAACGGAGGTATTTTTAGTAACAGCTTTATGCTGGCAGCCGAAGCCGCGTACTCGCAGTGCCTCATATTCTGAACCCGAATCTCAATGTTTTTGCCTTCAGTGGTCCGTCGTGAAAAATAATCGCCGACTCGTTGGGTGGGAGATATGCGTCGCGCCGAGTGAACGCCCATGTCGCGAAGAATTTCGGCGAAGAATTTTGCGACCAATAATTTTCCAGATCGCCCTCAGGTCGCGATTCGCGAAGAAATTCGTCCATGGCAGTCCCTGCTTCTCGACGTTCACCCACTGAGATCGCATCACATCGCTGACATTTTCGCCCGCATTCCCCACTCGTGCTGTTCGTTTGTGCGCAGGGAAATCGCCAATCAGCGACAACTTGCGGGGCAGAGCATACCCGCCGCCATCACCCAACTTTCTGCGCTTCAGAAGCTGTAAGTCCCCACTTCCCAGTTCCTACCTACCTCCCCAGTTCCCGCCCTCCAGTCCCCGGGTTCGCCTGTACTTTCACATCTTCCCCGCACTGCTGCGTGTCTCCTCTCCTCCCCTCCCCTTCCTCTCTATTCTTCCTCTCTCCCTCTTCCTCTTCCTCATCCGTTCCTCTCTTCCCACCCCACCCGTTCTGCCGCCCGGTTACAGGAGTCTGGATCACAATCTTCTGGTGGGCAGTGTGCCGGCCAACATTGGATACCTCTCCGCCCTCACCAACCTGTACGCCCTCCTCCTCCCTCTCCTCTCCTCCTCGTCTCGCCTCGCCTCGCCTCGCCTCTCCTCTCCTCTCCTCCTCGCTTCGCCTCGCCTCACGTCTCTCCCTCCTCGCCTTTTTTCTCCACTTCTCTCCTCCTCTCCCCTCTCCTTCCCACTGCTCTCCTCTCCTCTCCTCTCCTTCTCTTCCAGCTCTAGCACGCCGCCGCTACTACTGCCCACTCTCGCCCGTATACCCAGTTCTTCTCCGCATCGGCATCTGTCTTCCATCCACCCTTCAATCCTCCACCGCTCTCACCGCACCCAAGGCCTCTCCCAATGCTCCTGCACTTTCCAGGCGCCTCTAATGGCTCTCGGTACTCATTCGCGCCAACCTTGCTTTTGCTTCCTGCTGTTCTGCTTGTGCTGCGCTCTGCTGCCCCTTCGCATTTTCGTCTTGATCCCAATCCCACAGCTCCATGAGCGGCAATGCTCTCCAGGGCGCCATCCCGCCGTCTCTCTCCACCCTCGTCAAGCTGCGCGTTCTGTACGCCCACCATACGCCCTCCTTCCGCCCACCATACGCCCACCATACGCCCACCATACGCCCACCATACGCCCACCATACGCCCACCATACGCCCACCATACGCCCACCATACGCCCACCATACGCCCACCATACGCCCACCATACGCCCACCATACGCCCACCATACGCCCACCATACGCCCACCATACGCCCACCATACGCCCACCATACGCCCACCATACGCCCACCATACGCCCACCATACGCCCACCATACGCCCACCATACGCCCACCATACGCCCACCATACGCCCACCATACGCCCACCATACGCCCACCATACGCCCACCATACGCCCACCATACGCCCACCATACGCCCACCATACGCCCTCGCTCCGTCCTCGCTCCGTCCTCGCTCCGCCCTCCTTCCGCCCTCCTTCCGCCCTCGCTCCGCCCTCGCTCCGTCCTCGCTCTGCCCTCCTTCCGCCCTCGCTCCGTCCTCGCTCTGCCCTCCTTCCGCCCTCGCTCCGTCCTCGCTCTGCCCTCCTTCCGCCCTCGCTCCGTCCTCGCTCTGCCCTCCTTCCGCCCTCGCTCCGTCCTCGCTCTGCCCTCCTTCCGCCCTCGCTCCGTCCTCGCTCTGCCCTCCTTCCGCCCTCGCTCCGTCCTCGCTCTGCCGTCCTTCCGCCCTCGCTCCGTCCTCGCTCTGCCGTCCTTCCGCCCTCGCTCCGTCCTCGCTCTGCCCTCCTTCCGCCCTCGCTCCGTCCTCGCTCTGCCCTCCTTCCGCCCTCGCTCCGTCCTCGCTCTGCCCTCCATACGCCCTCGCTCCGTCCTCGCTCCGTCCTCGCTCCGCCCTCCTTCCGCCCTCCTTCCGCCCTCGCTCCGCCCTCGCTCCGTCCTCGCTCTGCCCTCCTTCCGCCCTCGCTCCGTCCTCGCTCTGCCGTCCTTCCGCCCTCTCCGCCCTCGCTCCGCCCTCGCTCTGCCCTCGCTCTGCCCTCGCTCCGCCCTCGCTCCGCCCTCGCTCCGCCCTCGCTCCGCCCTCGCTCCGCCCTCGTCCCGCCCTCGCTCCGCCCTCGCTCCGCCCTCGTCCCGCTCTCCTGCTCTCGTCCCGCCCATGCCACGCCATGCCAAGTCCCCCCACTTCCCATTTCTAATCCCACCCTCTCACCACCCCACTGGTTCCCTTGCAGCGATCTGAGCTCCAACGGCCTATCCGGGCCCATCCCCAACGCTTTCGCTTCTCTCACCCTCCTCACCACCCTGTACCCCTCCTTCTCCCCTTAACCTCCTTTCGATTCCGCAAATCTCCTTCACTCCTCCCGCATGCTATCGCAAACGATCCAGTATTCCCCGTCACCAGTATGCATCCTCCTTTGTACTCCCTTCTGCTCCCTTGCTTTTGGCCCTTCAACGAAGCAAGCCAGCTACCCCACACCCTCCAACTCTTCGCCCTGCACCGCCTTCAATCTTCTCTCCCCTTCTCTTCTCTCCCTTTCTCTCCTCTCCCTTTCTCGTCTGCTCCCTTTTCCCTTCTGCCCTGCTCTGCTCGTCCCTGCTCCTAACCGCAGGGCTCTCGGGTCCAACCAGCTCACAGGCCCTCTGCCTGCGTCCTTCTTCGGCCTCTCCAACCTCGCGCATCTGTAATGACCGATTCCTCGCATGCCGCTCCTCTCTCCTCCCCTGCACGCACTGCTGCTTTGCACTCGACGAGCATCTCCCCCCACTCTCCCCCGGACCCCGGCTCCTTCTTCCCCACACCCCCCCAGTTTCACTGAGCCGTCCCTGTAACATGCATACACAGACCAGCGCCACTGGCGCACACAAACTCCCACACTCCCTGCCTTTAATCCCCTCTCTCCCTCCTCTGTCGTGCCATGCCATGCCATGCTGTGTGCAGGTTGATTGGAGGCAATCGCATCTCCTCTACTCTCCCCGACACCATCTCCGGCCTCACATCTCTGCTCGCACTGTACGTGCCATGCTTGAGAACCATGCTTGGGAGTGCTACCGCATAGCTGGTTGTGAAAGCCATGCGTAATGCACTTATTTTATTCATGTTTTTATTTCCACATTTGTATTTATTTGTTTGTTTATTTATTTTCTCCCTCTCCCACGCAGTGACGTGAGTCGCAACTACTTTTATGGGAGGCTCCCGACAGCGTTGGGCTCTCTGCCCTCTCTTCTCTTCCTGTGAGTGCTCCTCCTGCTCCTTCTCGTCCTCAGAACAAAGCATTGTAACCGGTGTGCTTACCCCTCGCTAGTCTCTGCAGCGGCGTGAGTTCCTTACCTCACCTTCCTCCTTTCCCCTGTCTCTCTCCCCTCCTCGCCTCCCCCCTCCCCGCAGGGACATGAGCGAGAATCAGTTCACGGGGGCGCCGATCTCTACCTTCGCATCGCCAGCCATGGCCAACACCTCCATTGCCACGCTCGACCTCTCCGGCAACTACCTCACCTCCACCGCCGCCTCCTTCTCAGCCAAAGCACCCACCACCATCAACAGCACCACCACCACCAAGATCACAAACAGCACCACTGGCAACAGCACCAGCAGTGGCACCAACACCACCACCACCACTCTCATCTCCTTCTGCCCCGTGTCCCTGCAAGGCCGCTATGCCTCTGCCAATCTGCTCGTCTACGGTGTCTCCCCGTACAGCAGCCAGCAGGGCAACTGCTTTCTCGGCGGCAACTGGAACTTGACTGAGAATTTCGTGAACGAGAAGCGCAGGGGCAACGCAAAGCAGGGAGGCCCAGGAGGAAGCAGTGGTGGTGTGAGCGCTAAAGCAGGAACAACCACCGGCAACAGCACCGGCAGCAGCGGCGGGAGTGCGAGCGCCGGGACGGGGTGTCCGGTTGGGCCGCAGCGGAGGTCCATCGAGTGTGTGGCGTTCTGCGGCGCGGCTCTCCCCGCGGGGCCGTGCGGTGGGCTCGGCACGTGCTACCTCTCGGGCCCCTCCAACACCCCCACCTGCGCGTGCAACGCCGGCATGTACAATGTCACGTTGACTCTCACCATCGGGAAGAGCCTTGTCTCATACCCCTCCTGCTCGCCCAACCCCGGCCCTGCTCCCCCTCGTAAGCCATGGAACCATCGTCTTTCCGAATCTCAGCTCATTTCAACGCAGTCTCTCCCTGGCAAGTCACCTTCCACTCACATACCACTCACATACCTCTCACATAATTCCTCTCGTCTCCTGCCTTTCCGCCCTCTTGCGCTTGTCTCCGCCTGTGCCTCTCCAGCTCTCCCACCTCCTGTGGACAACACAACAATGCGCAAAAGAGGTGAGCCGCTGCCTGCCGTTCCTCCTCTAACCACAATGCCTTCCCTGCCTTCCCTGCCTTTCCTCAAAACACACACCCACATACTGCATCGCCCCCATCTCATTCCCTCTACCTTTCCACTCCCTGCCTTCCCTATCCCTGCTTACATCCCACTACCTTCCTTGCCTTCCCTAAACCTTCCTCCGTCCTAACAAGAACCATCACTGCCTGCCGTTGCTACCCCTATCCACGCTGCTTCAAATCCCAGATTCCCGAGGAGCCAACCTAGACCAAGCAGCAACTATCTCCTCAACCTACTTCAACCCCTACTTCCGCTACGCCTCGCTCGGCTTCATTGGCAACCTCTCAAACCCCACCTGGAACATCACTCCCACGGTGGACTGGCGGGCGCGGGTGCCGGCAGCGCTACAGCCGGCCAAGGATCAGGGGCTGTGCTCGGCGTGTTGGATTTTCGCGCCGGTGGCGGCGGCGGAGGCGCTGTATGCGATTGTGTACGGCGCAGCGCCGCCCAGCCTGGCGGAGCAGAAGGCCATCGACTGCCAGGGCACCTGGACCTGCGCGGGCGGCCGACCAGACGACGCCTTCAACTACATCGCCGCCTCGGGAGGCCTGCCCAACTCCTCCGCCTATCCTTACACCGGCGTCGCCAACAACAGCACGTGCAAAGTCGGGTTCGCGCGGCGGGCCGTATTCTCTCGTAGGCTATCTCTCAATGAAGCAGATGATGCCGATACAGGCGCTGCTTCCTCTGCTTTCCCCGTTTCCTTTTCCTCGCTTGCTCACACGCTTTCACGCCTCCTCAGGGGGAATACCTCCAACGGGAAACGGAGAACAGCAGGCTATGCAGGCACAGCAGCAACAGCACCAAAGAAGGATGCAGCGGCACCATCCCTTCCGCCAGCCCCATTCCCCGTGTCCATGTTTGAGCGAGTGGGCATCAGCGGGTGGCTGGGACTTGCCATAGCGGTGCAGCAGCAGCCGGTGGTTGTTTACATCGAGGCGCGGTCTCTCTCCTTTGTTAGCTATCCTGGGGTAAGCTGCTTCACTGCCCTTCACTGCTCTACAGCTCTGCTCTGCTCGGATCTACTGTAAATAAAAGAGACGATATATATACAATATATGTTTTCTCCAGCGCATTCTTACCCACTCTTCCCGTCTCTCTCCTCTGCACCTCTATTCCTTTTCCCAGGGTTTCGTGTATGCGGACCCCAACTGCTACAGCACGCGACTCGTGGACCATCTGGTGGTGGTGGTGGGGTTCAACCTGCTGGACGCCACGCCCCACTGGATCATCCGCAACTCATGGGGCCCATCGTGGGGCGAAAACGGCTACATGAAAATCGCCATTGCCGGCGGCCCGGGCATGTGCGGCATGAACACCCTTCCAGGCCTCTACCCCTCCATCGTCTCGCCCGACCCGTGCAAGCCCATCAACCCCTGCGGAGGCGGTGTGTGCACGGCTGTTACCGGCAACAAGAACATGCGCAACAAGTGCACCTGCCCGGCCAACTTCGTTGCTGTTACCAACCTCGACCTGACACAGTCGTGCGCCATTGGTGAGCGTCACTCGATGTAATTGTAGATGCTCACAGTCGTGCCCTTTTGCCTTTCTCCCTTGATTTGTGATTGAGGCGTTACTGAGACGCTTTGAAAACGATTTCTTTGATGCCCTCTCATTTCCACTTTCTAGAAGGAAAACAAACAAACCACTCTTCCACTTTCCTCTCCCCCCGTCTCTCCTTCCCGCCACTCCAGCCAAGGTGTGCTCCTTCTTTGCAATGAATCCCTGCGGCTTCGGCACGTGCATGGACGACAGCAAGGGCGGCTACTCGTGCCTCTGCTCGCCGGGCTACATCCTGGGAGCGCTTACAGACGGCTCGGCCACGTGCATCCCTGGTGAGCCTTCTTGCTTTCTCTCTTCCTCTCCTCCTCTCCTCTTTGACTGTTTTTTTCTCGCAGTGCCATGCACTCGTGCATGCGTGTCTCATTGCGTGCGCCCTCTCCCTCCCTCCCTCCTTCCTTGCGTCCCTCCCTCCCTCCCTTGTGCCACCCATGCATCCTGCAGGCTCCACGTCGGTGAAGGTGACGCTACCAGCAGACATGTCGTGCAATCAAGTCCGCTCCACGTACCTCCTCTCCAAGGCCAACTTTACAAAGCTCAACCCCGTAAGCATGGAACCACGCCTCGCACTCCCATCGGCGAACAAAAGAACCAAGCCACGCACTCTCTCCTGCCCAGCTCTCTTCAACATCCAACACAGTGCAGGAGGCAATCATATCCTGTTTCCAAACCAGTCGTGCACATTCACATGCTTCCTCTGAACCCATCTCAACGCTCCTCTCCCATCCCTCCATCCTCTCCTCTCCCTTGTCCCCCCCCTGGTCTGCTGCCCCGCAGTCGCTCAAGTGCCCTGGCACATACCCAGCAGGCACAGTGATTGTAACCAGAAACTCCACAGTGAACGGGACGGCGTGCGTGGTTCCCTACACCATAGTTCCCGGCGATACATGCTCCAGCATCGCTGCTGTTTTCAACCTCACCACTGCGGATCTTGCCGCGGTCAACCCTGAGTTGGACTGCACTGCTCTGGTCTCCGGACAGCTGGTAAGGAGAATTGCTGGCCAGGGTTGCAATGCAGTGTTTTTGGGTACTTTTTCTCTTGTGCAGGCACGTGAATTGGCGGCAGGGATTGGGTTGGGGTCATTTTGATGCGTTCCCTGTCATAGGCGTGTTGAACTTAGTGTGATGTGACGAAATGCAGGGGGTGGATATTGGGATCTCATGCGTTTCTTTTGGTGGGGTTTGCTTGTGCAGATCTGCATCAAGTCTGGGACACCGGAAGCTCAGGGCTGCTTGAGTTATTACACGGTAAATCCGGGGGAGACTTGCAACGATGTCATGATCAACACGTACCCTCCGATATCCGCGGCACAGCTGTACCAGTACAACCCTGGGATTATATGCTCGTCTGACTCTCAACGACTCGTTGGGCAAGATGTAAGTGCTGGAATCAACTTTTGGCAGTTTATGCCATGCTAGTGTTGTTTGTGTGATAACACGTATTTTGTGCTTATATTGATTGTGTTGCCGTGTTCCAGGTCTGCGTGGATGCATCCCCAGTGGTGGGTGCATTATATTGCGCGTACGGATACTACACCGTGGTTTCCGGGGACACCTGTGGAGGCGTGGCGTGCAAAGTCTTCCGGTGTTCCTATTCTCTTATGTACACGTACAATCCAGGGTTTGTATGCTCCTCATCCACCCTGTATGTAGGGAAAGTCCTATGCAAGCCTAAGCCACTCTGAATCATCTCGCAGGGTAGATTGTAGCATTTATATTTGTTTGCTTGTATACTATTTGTTATTGATTTATTCAATTCGTTTGTTATTTTTGTAAGTGTAATAGAACTTACGTTTTTTTGCATCAGGCCTTTGTTGCTGTTCCACCAACTGCCGTCAGCCTGTTCACTTCGAACAGAGATTCCTCACCCTGTCCGCATCGAACAAGATTCCGATGTGATTGTTGACACAGTAATCCAGGTGTCGCGGCTCGTCTTGCCTGTTCGCCTGTCGAAGCACCTGAATTTCGGATTCGCATTTCAACCAATTTGTTCTCATGTCGGACATGGTATTGACGTGGCACATTCTCCTGGTGGCTTCGGTTGTTGCTACTTCTGTTCGTCTCAACTTTCACGTGTGGGCGAAGGTTTTTTTGGGGCAGCTGAAGCCCTGACCCATAAATTTGTACGATTTTTCTCGATTACAGTACAGTTCAGTTCAGCATCCTCGTTGCCCTCGACCTACCTTTGGCTTTGCGTTTTGCATGCGATGCGAATATCCGCCGCAGCATCACCCATACGCCAATCCTGGTAGGGCACAACCCAGTTCTGCACAGGCGGAGCGGGCGGAGCGAGGTGGAGGACGACCCCCTGCGCCGGATCCGTTTTTCCCCGCACGCGCCCTGGAAACCCGCCAAGACTACAACATTCCGTGCTGTGGACTTGTTTCCCGTCATCTTTTCCGTCCTACCTTCCACCTCGCCGTCAGAACATGTCTGTCCAGGTGTACTGTACACACGAGACAACAGAACAGAGAGGGGATGAAAGAATTTGTGTTTCAGTACAGTACCTGCCTGCAGTTAGGAAAAGGGTTAATTCCTGTCCGTGCAAAGATTTTGCTGGGTGGCATGACTCCTACCCACTTTCTTTGACAAACCTCGGAGTCTGGTTCCACTCAGAGCTGCTCTAACCGCCAGTTTCATCACCATCCATTCTGACGAAATGTCCTCAAGAGCATAGTGTAGTCTACCAATCGAAATGTATAAACCAGGACCGTGTGACGTGCTGGTGGGAGCCAACGCCCCCAAGTAGCCATTTCCGACAGGGTGATCTCGTACAAAAAACACCGAGACTTAGTGACAGTTGCTCCCTTCCTCGCTACACCTTCAGCTAACACAAGCTCCCACATCCTTCCTCGTTCTTCCTCCACACAATCCATCCATCCAGTTTGCTTTCAGGGGTTGGCTCGTGTAGGCCTCAACTCAATCCTTGTATCCAGCCTTGTCTTCAGGGACTCACACCGCTTAGAAGACAACAAATGTGCTGGCTCCAGTAACTGACGTGGTATCTTGGCCCCCAGTGACCTCACTCGTTAGAACCTAATCGCTTGATAGGACTAGCTTTACTGCGCACATCCACCTGGTCGAGTACTGATAGGATTCTCGTTGGTTGCTGCCATTGCAATGTACAATAGTCACTATAATCCCTCCTGCGTCTGATCTCACGTTCCCTTCGTCATCGTTACTAGGTAGCTGCTACCTTACGTTAAAATTCCGGAAGCGCTTCTTCACCTGTCGTCAACCGTCCGATCGCCCAAAATGGGCTTGCATCGTCGGCTAGTAATACCTCACCTATCGTCTACTAAATATCATAGCTCCCAGCTCTCCGCGCGCCGCCATAGTCCAAAGCTTGCACTCCTCGTGCTGCTCGTCGCGTCAAGCGCGTGCTTGCTATGTCCACTCCGCTCCGCCAACGCGCAAGCTGTAGCAGACAGCCAACGTGAGGACACTCCTCTCTCTCACCCTCTTTTCCGCTTGCGGCGGTCCCATAGCCGGCTCCTGCTGCCATTTTCCGCTTTCACCCCTTCCTTTCTCGTGTCGACGCGCTGTTAGCTAGCCTGCAGGTGCGATCAGGGTAGCTACCGAAATTCTCATGCGTTTGCGCGTCTAACGCGAATACGCGATGAGAAACGCACATTGTTCTTTCAACCACTTCTCCTGCTCCCTCTCATTCCTGCTCCCCCCTTCCCGCCTTTTCCCGTTTTTTTCTCTTTTTTTTTTTTCCCCGCCGTTCCGCCCTTTTTTTCCCTATCCAGGACCGGCGCTCTCGGCGATAATGGATGTGTGGGGCGCGGCGCTCAATCTGAACGCCACGTGGTTCGTGATGCCAACCTGCGCGCAATGGCAAGGGCTCTCCTGCAACGCCATGGGCCAAGTCACCTCCTTGTGCGTCTCGCCCACCTCCCACTTCGCCCGCCTCCCGTGCCGCACGTAGCATCGTGCGATGTCCTATCACGGAGGCTACCTTCCGTCCCTCTGTCCACGAGCTCACCGCCGCCCGTTACGCTTCAAATTATCCTCCGCAGCTTTCTCCTCCGTCGCATTTCTCTCTCGTCTCCTTTCCCCGTCCCGCTTTTCTTCATCCCCTCGTTCCGTGCCCTTTTTTTTTTTTTTTCCCACTCTTTCGCGGCGCGGCTTTTCCTCCCCTTCCGGATTATCCGCAGAGAGCTTTCCTACCGCCGCCAGTTAATCGGGCAGAGCATCCCCGCCGCCATCACCCAGCTTGGCGCGCTGCAGCGATTGTAAGCGGCGGAAGCCTGCTTGAAAGGGAGGGGGCCGCGGGGGAAGCGCGGGCGGGTGGGGGGGGGGGGAGAAGAGCGGAGGGTCGGGGGAAGGGAAGCGGAGGGAAGGGCATGGACCGAAACGGCGTGAATGGCGAGGGTTCCGACCGTCTTCTTTTGCTAATCTTAAGTAACATGTTTCCAATCCCTTTTGAGAATTCTTAAAAGTAGCTTCCTTCCTGATTGGACTCTCTCTTTCCTGTCCCCACCCGCCCGTTCTGCCGCCCGGTTACAGGAGTCTGGAGCGCAATCTTCTGGTGGGCAGTGTGCCGTCCAACATCGGATACCTCTCCGCCCTCACCAGCATGTATGCCGCCTCTCCCATTTCACCCACGCGCGCTTTGCGCATCAGTTTCCGCTCCGCCGTCTCCTCATTTCCCCTCCGCGCGCGCGTTCCCGTTTCCCCGCCCACCGTCCCCCCGCCGCGCTGGTCTGGGCTTTCTTCGTCCTCTCAATCGCCGTCTCGTGTGTCTTAGCGGGTGCTTCTTTTCCGCGTCAACATCAGGCTCACCGTTCCGCCAACTCTCTCCCTCCCCTGCGCCCCCCCGCCCTTTCCCCGCCCTTTTCCCGCCCCTTCCCCGCCCTTTCCCCATCCCTCCCCGCCCCTTCCCCGTCCCTCCGCGGCCCTCCCCCAACCGCGTCAGCTCGCTGGGCGGCAATGCGTTGCAGGGCAGCATTCCCGCGGGCATCTCCACTCTCGTCAATCTCCGCCTCCTGTACGTTTTCCGCCCACGCGTCCGCTTCCGCCTCTCCCGCTTCTGGCATTCCCGCCGTCCGTACCGTTCCTGCGCGTATCGTTCCGCTTTTCCGCACGAGCTCTATCCGTCCCTCTCAGCCCCTCAACTCACTCACTCACTCGTGCCCTTCTTCCCTCCCTCCATGATCCATCCTTTCTTCTCTCCGTTTCTTCCATCCCCATACCAGCGACCTGCACGACAACTCCCTCACAGGCGCTATTCCCGACAGCTTCGCTCCGCTCACGGCGCTCGCTACACTGTACGCGCGCCTTCGCCCCTTCACCTTCAGCTCGTCGCTTTCCGCCCTCCGCCTTCCGCCCTTCGCTACCGGCCCTTCGCTTTCCGCCCTTCGCTACCCGCCCTTCGCTTTCCGCCCTTCGCTACCCGCCCTTCGCTTTCCGCCCTTCTCTTTCCGCCCTCCGCCTTCCGCCTTCGCGTGTGTCGTTTCCCCCCGTCCGCCCCCTGCTTCTGCTCTTGATGTCTGAAAGTCTTCCCACACCGCTTCCGCTTCCACTCCTCGTTTAGAATTATTTTTTCCCCTCTGCCCCTCTACCCCGTCCTCCCCCGTCCTCCCCCATCCTCCCCCGTCCTCCCCCATCCCCCCCAATCCTCCCCCGTCCTTCCCCATCCCTCCTCCGCAGCGCGCTAGGCGACAACCACCTCACAGGCTCCCTGCCCGCCTCCCTCCTCGCGCAACCCGCCCTCCAGAACATGTACACCACCGCTGCGTCTCTGCACACCCCCACCCCCCCCCCCCCCCCCTGCACACATCATATAACCACCGCCCTGCGCTCGCTGCTCCTTCCGCCGCCGCCCCTCTCCCTCCACCAATTCTTCCCCTGACCTCCACCTCTAAATGTTTATTTCCGTTGCTTGTCGTCCGCCCGCCCCCGCAGTCTCATCGGAGGCAACGCCCTAACGGGAGTGCTACCAGAGGCCATCTCCGCCTGGACTGCGCTCCTTGCGCTGTAAGCCGCTGCCGCTCCCGCTGCCCGCTGCCGCTCCCGCTCCCGCTGCTGCTGCTGCTGCTGCTACTGCTGCTGCTGCTGCTGCTGCTGCCGCCGCCGCTGCTGCCGCTGTCGGTTCGCACTGCCACGCTCCGCCCGCCCCCTCCATTGCACCTAAGTTACATTGCACGGTCCGAGTTCTATGGCCGCAAGCCGGCTGCTCTTGCTTCCTTCCCTCTCCCCTCGCCATCTCCTTTCTCTTCCCTCGGCTTATGTCTCTGTGCTCTCTGTGCTCTCTGTGCGCTCTTCCCTCTCCTCCCCTCCCCTGTGCCCACCCCAGTGACATAAGCCGCAACAATTTCTATGGCCGCATGCCGGCCGCTCTCGCTTCCTTACCAGCTCTCATCCACCTGTACGTGCCGTGCCACCACGCTGCCGCTGCCCACCGCTGTCTACCGCTTCCCACCGCTGACCACCGTTCTCTGCCCCTGCCTGCCGCCTCCCACCACTACCACCCGCACATCCGGTAGCTCTTTCCATACTCCCAATCAGCCCCCCTCACCCCTTGCAGAGGCGCGGGCGGGAATCAGTTCAAGTCCTCAGCTCACCCTTTCTCTTTCCCCTTTCTCTCTTTCTCTCTCCCCCCCCCCCCCTTCCCCCCCTCTCCCCCCTCTCTCCCCTCTCCCTCCTCTCCCCTTCCCCCTTTCGCCTCTCTCTCTCCCCGCAGGGACGTGAGCGAGAATCAGTTCACGGGGGCGCCGATCTCAGCCTTCGCATCGCCAGCCATGGCCAACACCTCCATTGCCACTCTCGACCTCTCCGGCAACTTCCTCACCTCCACCGCCGCCTCCTTCTCAGCCAGTTCCCTCCCGTTCTGCCCCTCCGCGCTGCAAGGCGGGTATGCTGCCTCCGCTCTGCTCTCCCTGGGTGCCTCTCCGTATAGCTCCCAGAAAGGGAATTGCTTTCTGGCGGGGAGTTGGAATACGACGCAGAGTTTTACGGATGATAAGAGGAAGGGAGGGTGGAAGTCGGAAGGCGGGAAATCGCTGGACGAGAGGAAGAAGATGAAAGGGAATTGGTCCAGTCCGGTGCCAAATGGGAACGGTTGGGGTGGCGGTGGGGACAGCGGTAACAACGGCGGCGGCGGCAGCAACAGCAGCGGTGGCGGCGGCAGCAGCAGTGGCAAGAAGAACTCGTTAAGCAACACCAATAGCAACAGCAATAGCAATAGCAATAGCAACAGCAACAAGAACGGCGGCAGCACCGGCAGCATTGGCAAGCGGGGCAGGAAGCTGTATGGCAAAAGTTACGTCAACAGCAACAGCAACAGCAACGGGAAAGGAAACGGCGGCAGCAACGGCAGCAGCGGCGGGAGCGCGAGCGCGGGGACAGGCTGTCCGGTTGGGCCGCAGCGTCGGTCCATCGAGTGCGTGGCGTTCTGCGGCGCGGCTCTTTCCGCGGGGCCCTGCGGTGGGCTCGGCACGTGCTTCCTCTCCGGTCCCTCCAACACCCCCACCTGCGCCTGCAACGCCGGCATGTTCAACGTGCAGCTGACCATTCAAGTGGGCAAGGAGCTTGTCTCCTACCCCTCCTGCTCGCCCAACCAAGGCCCTGCCCCTCCTCGTGAGATTCCTTGCGTTTTCGCATATCGCATCTCGCATCGCTCATCCTCTCCCTGTGTTGCTCTTTTTTCATGTGCGTCTCATTCATTCCCCTCCCCTCTCCTCTCCCTCTCCCTCTGCGCTGTGTCTCATCCTGTGCAGCTCCGCCACCTCCTCCCGATGCTAACACATGGCGAAGGCGAGGTGAGCCAGCCTTCCGCCCCACCCTTCCGCCTCTCCACCTCTCCTGCTCGCCCTTCTTGACCGCTCACGCCCATCTCCTCACCAGTTGCTGCTCGATCTTTGCATTCTCTCTCTCTCTCTCTCTCTCTCTCTCTCTCTCTCTCTCTCTCTCTCTCTCTCTCTCGAGAGATATCTCTCTCTCCTCTCTCTCTCATCTCTCCCTAGCTCTCTCCTCTTCTCTCTCTCTCTCTCTCTCTCTCTCTCTCTCTCTCCTCCGCTCTCTCTCTCTCCCTCTCTCCCTCTCTCCCTCTCCCCCTCCTCCCCCTCTCTCCCCTCTCTCCCTCTCTCCCTCTCTCCCTCTCTCCCTCTCTCCCTCTCTCCCTCTCTCCCTCTCTCCCTCTCTCCGTCCCATCACAGAGTCCGAGGAGCAGACTTGGACGACACGGCAGTGGTCCGAGGCTCCTACTTCAACCCCTACTTCCGCTACGCCTCGCTTGGCTTCATAGGCAACTACACCAGCCCCAAATGGAACATCACCCCACGGTCGACTGGCGCACGCGTGTCCCACTGCGCTCGCCCCGGCCAGGGACCAAGGCCTCTGTGGTTAGTACCTTTCCACTGCCCCTGCTGTTGCCTCTCCTACTTTGTTCTTGCTGCTCTCACTGCTGCTCTCAGCATTCACACGCACCTGCTCACAACCTTCCCTACCTCCCCCCTCTTACTCACCTTCCTTTTCTCTCTGCGTGTCCTCTCCGTCTCCCTCTCCCTCTCCGCAGCGTGTTGGTGTTGGATTTTCGCGCGGTGGCGGCGGCGGAGGCGCTGTATGCGATTGTGTACGGCGCAGCGGCACCCAACATCTCGGAGCAGAAGGTCATCGACTGCCAGGGCACCTGGACCTGCGCGGGCGGCCGCCCCGACGACGCATTCAACTACATCGCTGCGTCCGGCGGCTGCCCAATTCCTCTGCCTACCCTTTCACCGGCGTCGCCAACAACAGCACGTGCATTGCATCTCGCAAGCGATTGCTGTCTGTCAATCCCACCCGCCGCCTCCTCTCGGATCTATTCAACTCAGGCAACACCAACACCAACACCAACAGCACGGCAACAGCAACAGCAACAGCAACGGTGACGCCAGTCCCAGCAGCGTCGCGCGCAACACCTTCTCGCACACGCTCGACCGCCTTCTCATGCCGGCCTTCTGGTCGGTGCTGCTGCCAAGGCGCCACCAGCCACGGCGGTACCAATGCCCAACTCGGCCTACACCGTGTCCATGTTTGAGCGCGTGGGCATCAGCGGGTGGCTGGGACTCGCCATTGCGGTGCAGCAGCAGCCCGTGGTGGTTTACATCGAGGCGCGGTCTGCAACGTTCATGAATTACACAGGGGTGAGTTTATTATATATATATATGTTCTTTAGTTATATTATATTTATATAGTTTCTGTTTGACTTTGTTGATTTATTTGTTCTTTCCGATTTCTGTTACGCCTCCGGTTCACCTTATATAAACTCCGCGGTTCTTCTATTTCTCGTCTCGTGTTTTCTCCCCTCCTCAGGGTTTTGTCTATGCGGACCCCAACTGCTACAGTACGCGTCTCGTGGACCATCTGTGTGGTGGTGGTGGGGTTCAACCTGCTGGACGCCACGCCCACTGGATCATCCGCAACTCATGGGGCCCATCGTGGGGCGACAACGGCTACATGAAGATCGCCATTGCCGGCGGCCCGGGCATTTGCGGCATGAACACCCTTCCAGGCCTCTACCCCTCGATTATCTCCCCCGACCCGTGCAAGCCCATCAACCCCTGCGGTGGGGGTTGTGCACGGCGGTTAACGGCAACAAGAACATGCGCAACAAGTGCACCTGTCCCACAAACTTTGTTGCAGTGACTAACCTTGATTGGACCCAGTCCTGTGCTCTGGGTAAGCCACAATCTCTCTCTCTCTCTCTCTCTCTCTCTCTCTCTCTCTCTCTCTCTCTCTCTCTCTCTTCTCCCTCTCTCTCTCTCTCTCTCTCTCTCTCTCTCTCTCTCTCTCTCTCTCTCTCTCTCTCTCTTCTCTCATCCCCTTTGGTTCTGGGTAAACTCAAAGATCTTCCAGCTCTTAGCTCTCGCCCTCTTGTATTCCTGTGTTGCAGTGTCGTTGCCATCCTTCACTGCAGTGTCGTTTGCCATTGTACGTCGCAGCTTCTTCACTGCACGTCTCCTCAACTTCTCTTCCTTCTGCTGCTTCCCTTTCTCCCTCCCTCCTACTATCCTCCTTCCCGCCACTCCAGCCAAGGTGTGCGCCTTTTTCGCAATGAACCGTGCGGCTTCGGCACGTGCATGGACGACAGCAAGGGCGGCTACTCGTGCCTCTGCTCGCCGGGCTACTCGCTCGGGCAGCGCACTGACGGCTCGGCCACGTGCATTCCAGGCAGCATGACGGCAAACGTAACCTTGCAGGCAGCCATGACGTGCAGTCAAGTGCGCTCCACCTACATGCTCTCCCGGCGGACGTTCACAGATCTCAACCCGGTACTTTCTCCTACCTTCGCACCCTGCTCTCTTTCCGCCTCCGTTCCCTCTTTTTTCCCTGCAGCAACAACCCTCGTTTCTTCCCTTGCTGCACTCACCCCGCACCATCTCTGTTGTCGTTCACCACAGATCACCCCTTTGTGACTCTGTCCTAACTTACCCGTCCTATCCCATGCCCGCTCTCTCTCTCTGTCTCTCCCCCCCCCGCTCTCTCCCCTCTGCAGACACTCAAGTGTGCGGGCACCTTCCCCCCTGGCACTGTCATTGTCACGCGCAACACCAACCAGACCAGTGCCAATGTCACTGGCTGCATCGTACCCTACACTGTGGCCCAGGTGGGTGCCGTGCCTCAGGTGGGTGCTCAGGTGGGTGGTGTGTGCCTCAGGTGGGTAACTGGTGAGTGCTGTTGCTCAGGCTCGCAGTGTTGCTCCATCTCACTGTCACACCTCTCCCTTGCCGTCTTCTCGTCCGTTTGAGCATGCCGCGTGGCTACCTACCACTTTGCTTCCTACCTGCCTTTTCTATCGCATTTGAATTCCTCTCCCTCTCTCTCTCTCTCTCTCTCTCTCTCTCTCTCTCTCTCTCTCTCTCTTCTCTCTCTCTCTCTCTCTCTCTCTCTCTCTCTCTTCCCTCCCTCTCTCTCTCCCTCCCTCTCTCGCCCACTCTCACTCCCTCGTTCCCCCCCTTCGCAGGGCGACACATGCACCACAATCATGACTATGTTCAACGTTACCTTGGCTGATCTGAATGCCACCAACCCTGATCTGGACTGCGGAATACTGGCAGTTGGCCAACAGGTCAGTCAGTCACTCGCTTACATGCTCACTCTCTCTCGCTTATATTATATTATCTTGACCCCACTCGACTTTTCAATTTTCCGTTCTCCAACGTCGCTGTCACTAAAAACGCAGTATCAGCCTACTTTTCTTACCCACTAGCATGGCCTTTGTGGTTATCCGCCACAATTGAAACACAAATACAATGTACTGTAACATTTCTGTCCTGTTGTTACCTGGTGTCCTGGCGGTTTGTCCTGGCGTTACTGCCTTGTTTCTGTTGCAGATATGCATCAGTACCGGCACACCTCAACCCCAGAGCTGTCTCAACTTCTACACAGTCAACCCGGGAGAGTCATGCAACGACGTGATGATCAACACGTATCCGCCAATCACAGCGGCGCAGCTCTACCAGTACAACCCTGGAATCATCTGCACTGCCGACACCTCGCAACGGCTCGTCGGCCAAGAGGTATTTTTCCTTCCTAACCTAAATGAGCGCCCTTCACCCTCTGTGTACGATTGCTTGATGGTGTTCAATGGCTTCCATTCGTTGTATTGTACTGCAAAGCTTGTCTGCGTCCCCCTTCTGTGTTCTGCTCCTTCCTGCTTCCTGATTTGCCCATCCGTCTCTCCCTGTTTTGTCGTGCTCAGGTTTGCGTGGATGCCACGGTTGTCGGTGCCGTGAAATGCAGCTACGGCGTGTACACTGTTGTGCGCGGCGACACGTGCGCGAGCGTAGTGTGCAAGGTGTTCAAGTGTTCCTACGCCACAATGTACGCTGTCAATCCTGGCTTTAAGTGCACCACCTCGACGCTCTACGTGGGGAAGACTCTCTGCAAACCAAAGCCTTGAGAACCTCCCTCCATATTCAAGAATATCGCCCTCATGGTTTGAGTTGATACCTCCATTGTTTCTATTCAGTTTCATTCATTTTAAATTTATTTGTGCTGTGCTAGGCGCCCCTAGTTAGTCCATGGGATGTCCCCATGTGTATTTTAAAACTTTGTTAAAAATCATGGCTTGTAGTTAGTAGTGACTTAAATGTAGAGCTAGCTACACGTCATATACTCTGCATCCTGTACCCATACCCTTTTTCCAGTCGCCAGCAAACCACCACCCACCTACCAACCTCCTCGTTCTGGTACCCTTCAGTTCAGGCAGAGCTGGCTTGAAGATCCAGCTTGTACAGTGTGTAAACTGCTACACCCTATTCGCGATAATTTCCCACCCCTTAAACGTACACCCTGAGGGTACATACCCGGGATTCAAACTTTCTGAGAGGGTAGTTCGCTGCGAATATTGAACAGCTGGTGGGTGTTCCGAAACCCAGTCGCGAATAGACGTAAGCAATGAAAACTTCAGTCGCGCCTACCCAACCCCGTACCCACTCGGAACACATGGTGTTGTTTCAAGGGAAACTGCATCTCGCTGTCACTGATAGTCCCTGAGTTTCAGGGTGTCCGTCGTATCGAGCCAGAATTGGTATAGGGCACCTTCAAAAAGAGGGTAGGGGTGTGCAATTATCGCATATAGGGTGTAGCCCGCCCGAGGTCTGGAACAATACGGTACGTGTACTGTACTGCAAGTCGGTGAGAAAAATGAAATCTGTCGGCAATTTGCGGGGTCGCTTCGCGAGCCGTCTACAGTGACGGTAGAAAAATGCAATGAATCTCGTCTCGAGCTGCCCGAAACTGCTGGCTGTACTCTCGAGAGGCGAAACATTCAGGGAGGGGGCGGGGCACATTGAACGCACGGGGGTAAACGAACACGGAACAGAAGCAGCGAGGCCAAACAGAAGGAAGCCACACCACAAACCTGCGGCCGTTACTACAGTACTGCTGGCTAGCCATGCGACCGTTAGTGGGCCATTTGGACAAGTGCGGAGCGGAACATGCGAGAGGATGCTGGGTGGTAGGTGGAGCCTGGTTGTTCGATCTGGTCTGGAGCTGAAAGCAGCAGTTTGTTGTCTTATTGGCGAGCACTTATCAACCATCTCTCGTGTGCAAGGGGGAAAACGCCTGCGCGTCCTCCCTGCGCCCACAAGGAAATCCTCCTGCCCAAACCCTCCAGATGTTTCCGTCGCACAGTGCACTCCCGATTCCCCGTCCGCTCCCCCGCTCTCGAAAGGTGGCACGGGGGTTGAAAAGGTGAGGGGAAGAAGCCACTGGTCCATTGTGCGGTCGGGGAAAGCAGTGTGCGTGAGCGACAAGACGACCAGTGAACCATACAGAAGACGTGGGAAAGCAATATCGTATCAGACAGGAGTGTTGCGGGTGTACAGATACAGTTGTTCACGAATCACTAGCCACAATTCCGGCTCACACGTGACAGGCTACAAGGTGAGGCGAAGCTGGCGAAAACTTGACTGGAAAGCTACGCAATGTAATCAAGGCGAAGAAACCAGCTGCAGCATTGCCATGGGAAGCAGATCCCCCCCTACCTCTCTCTCAAAGCCGTCCAAATCCCATATTCCAAATTAATGGGGTAACCACACTTTCGAACGATGAATTGCGAACATTTTGCTCGTCGAGCCCTGAAATACGTTGTCCCAACCCCAACGCAGTCATCGATCGTACCTCCGCGCACCCTACCACACGCCCGTAAATCCGGCCTAAACAAGCCGAAAACAGACTCAACCCAAACCAACCCAACCAGGAGCCACGATGTCTCCAACGCGGCTCCCCTGAAAAGCCAGAGCCTTCAAAAATGGCACGGGCAATGTTTGCCATCCAGCCACACAAATCTTTATCAGAGCTCCCCTCACCGCGCCAGACTGTCTTCGCACCTTGGTGAGCTCCCGCAATAATAATTGTTCTATTGAGCGATAACTTCTAGGTTTCAGCACTTCGTTCTCCTCGCACCCCGTCCTGGACCAGAACAAACCCCAGCTCGTCCGTTCTGCCTTGTATCTTTTCCGACCTCTCTCATCGCCATAGCATAGACACCTCGAGCTACTACTGCTGCTGCTGCTGCTGCTGCTGCTGGAAGCACAGTTAACACAAAGCAAACAAAACATTGAGTGGTAGACTGCAGGAGAGATTCATGGGGCTACATCGCAAGCCCTTGCTCACGCCGCGGCGGCGACTCCTCGCCGGCCTCCCCATCTGCGTCTCCTCTCTCCTCCTCCTCCTGCTCCTCCCCTTCGCCGACGCACAGCCTGTCGCGGACAGCCAACGTGAGATTCTCTACCGCTCAATTCAAGAATAATCGATTCTCGATTCCCCACCCCGTTTTCTTGTGATATCACTTACCCGTCCGGCACTTTCCCGTCCGGCCCTTTCCCGTCCGGCATTTTAGTCTTCCTGTTCCCACGCGTATGACCTCTCTTTCGTCTTTCTCTTTGTATGCTCACTTTTGCCTCTCACCTTCCCCTTTGCGTTCCATTCACCGAGCCGCAAAATGACTCAATCTCCATTCGCTTTGTCGTCGCCCGATTCCCGTTTTGCGTTCGGCGACTCGGCCTCAACTTACCCTCCCGTGCGCTCCCGTCTCCCCATCCCGCCTCCCCCTCCCCACCCTTTTCCCCCTCTTTTCCCCTCCCTCCCCACTCCCTCTTCCCCGCTCTCCGCGCGAGCAGAACCTGCGCTGCGCGCCATCGCGGACGCGTGGGGCCCGTACATTCCGCTGGCGGACACGTGGTTCGTCGCCGCCGATTGCGCGCAATGGGACGGGCTCACGTGCAACGCCATGGGCCAAGTCACCAGCTTGTACGCGCCGCCCTAACTCCTTCACTAGCTATTTCGCCGTTTAAGATAGCTACAGCGTGTCAGCGTGCCAAAGTGACACGTCGTCAGTCCACACGCAGTAATAGTGTTCGTCTGCTTTCCTCAATGCGTCCATCAGTATTCCTTCCCCTTGTCACCCTTTCTCACCCTTTCTCACTCCCTCTTATTCTCTCTCACCCCTTCTCGCCCGTCTCACCCGGTCGCAATACCAGGGTGATCACGGACCGCGCAGGCCTCGCAGGCCAGACCATTCCCGACGCCGTCGCGCAGCTCTTCGCGCTCGACACTCTGTAAGCCCGCGCGCCTTTCCGCCAGCCCGCGTGCCTTTCCGCCAGTCCGCGCGTCGTTCCGCCAGCCCACCTGCCTTTCCGCCAGACCGCTCGGCCTTCCGCCAGCCCGTCCTTCCGTCCCCGTCCAGCCCCTGTCCCGTCCATCCGTCCTTCCGCCGTTCCGTCCCTTGCAATTATCGCGCGTAGTACTGCAGTCTGCGGACTACGCATCGCGTGTCGTTGCGGCTGCCGGCCTCGCTGCGCGCGGCTCAGGTCCCGTGTCGCGCTACTGGCATACCTCCCGCGCACACCTCGTTTTGCGCGCCCTTCTTGCTCCGCTCCTCGCGTCTCCTGTGCGCGTTCTATCCGCGCTCTCCCTCCCCCCACGTCCGCACCGCCATTGCGCCGCTTCCGCTCTTTCCTCCCCGTGCTTTTCTCCTTACCGCAATTCCGCCTCTCATCCCTTTTCCTTAGCACTCCCTCCACCTCCCCACTCCCCGTTCCCCTTCTCTCACCTCGACTTGCATGATAATATTTCTCAACCCTCCACTCGTATTATGAGCAGGAGTTTGGACCACAACCTTCTCGCGGGCTCTATTCCTTCCTCCATCGACTATCTCTCCGCGCTCACCAACCTGTACGCCGCTCTCCCCGCCAAGCGCGCCGCAACTGCTGCCTGCGTCTTCCTCTTGCCTTCCGCCTGATCCCTCCGCCGGCCCCTCCCTCTGTCCGCCTCTCCTCTGTCCGCCTTTTCCGCAGCCCGCCTTTTCCGCAGCCCGCCTTTTCCGCAGCCCGCCTTTTCCGCAGCCCGCCTTTTCCGCAGCCCGACTTTTCCGCTGCCCGTCTGACAGCCTACGTCCTGCCTGCCCTCCCGTCCGTCTGTGCGTGCAGGTCACTGAGCGGCAACTTTCTGCAAGGTTCCATCCCCCCGGGCGTGTTCAACCTCGTCAATCTCCGCGTGCTGTACGCTCTCTCCGCTCGCCTCTCTCCGCTCGCCTCTCTCCGCTCGCCTCTCTCCGCTCGCCTCTCTCCGCTCCCCGCACTCCGCGCTCCTCTCCTTTCCTCCCTCGCCTTCGCTCCGCTTTCCTCCGCTCCCGTCCACCCTCTCTTTTGCTTCCAACCCCTTCTCCTCCTCTCCTCCATCTCCATATACTCCCCCATCCCCCTCCTTCTCCCTCCCTTTTTCGCTCCCCCACACCTTCTACCTTCACTTACCTCACTCACCCGTCCCTCCTCTCTCTCCCCACCGCCCAACCCCGCACCCTCCCTCCCCTCCCTCACAGCGATCTGAGCACCAACGCGCTCTCCGGACCCCTCCCCGACAGCTTCAACCAGCTGAATCTCCTCTCCACGCTGTACGCCGCTCCTCCTCTCCTCGTCTGCCGCCTTTCCAGACGTCTCAAAAGTCCTCTCGAGCCCGCTCCCAATGCCCATGCGGCCATGCCCATGCCCATGCCCACGCCCCCATCCCCATCCTCATCACCGTTCCTCTTTCTCTCTCTCTCTCTCTGTCCGCACAGATCTCTGGAAGCCAACCAGCTATCGGGTCCCCTGCCCCGCAGCATCTACTCTCTCCCCAACCTGCAACACCTGTGCGCCTCCCTCTCTCCCCTCTCTCACCTGCCCGTCTGCCCACCTGCCCTGCTTTCTCACCTCCGCCTTCTGCATCTTTTCCTCAGTTTGAGTGAGAAGGCGGTATGTCTTTCTTCTCCGTTCTCATCCTTCCATTCCTTTCGCCTCCCACCCACCCATCTCACCGCACCGCACCGCATCGCACGTACCATCCCCATCGCCGTTACCAACCTCTTCCTCTTCCCTTCCGCCGTACCCTGCCTCCCTTTCCCCCATACTCCCCCATGTCTCTCTTTCTCTCTCTCTCTCTCTCTCTCTCTCTCTCTCTCTCTCTCTCTCTCTCTCTCTCTCTCTCTCTCTCTCTCTCTCTCTCTCTCTCTCTCACCCCACCACCCACAGCCTACTAGGAGGCAACAGCTTCTCGGGTACCATATCCGTCGCCATTGCCAACCTTCGCTCGCTCCTCGCACTGTAACTACCCCCCTGCTCTCAACCATTCTCGCGCTTCCTCTGCCCTCGTACCTCCCTCTAAACAAGCTCTATTGCCTTTGTCAGCACTCCCCTACTCTTTCCCATGGTTACGAACACCCAAGACGCATTGCCCCCCAACCCTATTGCACCCCCTCTATCCCCAACCCGCTCCCCACCCCACCCCACCCACACACCTCCCTCATGCCTCTATTTTCTTCTCCCCCCTCCTCCCCTTCCCCCTCTCCCCCTCCCCTTCCTCCTCCTCCTCCCCCTCCCCTTTCCCCCTCCCTCTCCCCTCCCCCTCTCCTCCGTGTCCCCACCCCCACAGTGACCTCAGCCGCAACTTCTTCTACGGGCGTCTCCCGAACGTGCTAGGCTCGCTGCCAAACCTCCTCTTCCTGGACGTCAGCAACAACCAGCTCTCAGGCACCCCCATCTTCTCCTTCGTCTCGCCATCCATGGCCGACCAAGCACAGGCCACCTACGACCTCTCGGGAAACTACTTCATCACGCCTCCCGCCGCGTATATTGCGGGCGATTCCGAGTTCTGCCCGGCCACGCTCAAGGGAGGGTACGGCGAGGCGAATCTCGTGGTGTTCGGCGCGTCGTTTTACGGGAGCCAGAAGGGCAACTGCTTTCTCGGAGGGTACTGGAACAAGTCGGAGAGTTACACGGACTCTCTGTCGCAGAGCAACTGGCGTGGGTCGAAGCGCGGAGGCGGAGGCCGGTGGGCGAACCGCGTTGGCGGCGACAGTTACTGGAACTCTAACAACAACAACAACAACAACAACAACAACAGCAACAGCAACACCACTGCTCCCACCGACGGCACCGCCACTCCCACTCCCACCTCCTCTAGCTGCCCTATCGGCGAGCAGCGTCGTCCCGTCGAGTGTGTGTCCTTCTGCGGCGCGGCTCTCCCCACGGGCCCGTGCAACGGGCTCGGCACGTGCATGCTCACAGGCCCGTCCAACGTGCCCATGTGCCTGTGCAACCCCGGGACGTTCAACGCCACGCTCACGGTGCCGTTTGGGAGGGAGCAGGTGGTCTCGTACCCGTCCTGCATGCCGTACCCGGTGGCGTCTTCCGGCCCTTGTAAGTGCTTTTCTCTAAGCTGACCATAGCCTGATCCCTGATTCTCCGTTTGGGAGGGAGCAGGTCGTCTCGTACCTGTCTTGCATGCCCTACCCGGTGGCTTCTTCCGGTCCTTGTAAGTCATTCATTTACCCCCTCTAACCCTGTGATAAAAGAAGTGCTTTGAGACGTCTCGTACCCGTCCTGCATACCCTACCCGGCGGCTTCTTCTGGCCTTCGTAAGACATAAATCCTAACCCTGAAGCTCACTTGAGCCTAATTTTAACCTCGTGCCTCTGCAATGCACGTGGACTCACCTGTCTCTCCTTTCTCTCCTCTCGCCCTCTCCCTCATTCCCTCTCTCTCCCACAGCCCCTACGGGATCCTGGGACAACACGAGCCTGCGCAAGAGACGTGAGTGCCTCTCCTCTCCTCTCCTCTCCTCCCCTCGCCTCTCCTCTCCTCGCCCGCTCCCCCTGCTTCTCCTCGCTTGCCCCTCTCTTCAACAAACCTCGTTCCAAGCTGTCTCCCAACCATATCCATTCCCATAGAAAAACAACAACAATGTCTTGTCCATTTTCCATGTCTATAACTCACTCCACTCTGCACCCGTCCCACTGCTCTTGTCCACCTACCCCTCTCCCCTTCCTTATCCTCCTCTGCAGGGTTCCGAGGGGCCCAGCTGGATCAAACAGCGCTCGTCTCCGGCTCCTATTTCAATGCCTACTTCCGCTACGCCTCCCTCGGATTCACCGGCAACGCCTCCTACCCCAAGTGGCAAATCACCCCACGGTGGACTGGCGGGCGCGGGTGCCGGCGGCGCTACAGCCGGCCAAGGACCAGGGGCTGTGCTCGGCGTGTTGGATTTTCGCACCGGTGGCGGCGGCGGAGGCGCTGTATGCGATTGTGTACGGCACAGCGGCGCCCAGCCTGGCGGAGCAGAAGGCCATCGACTGCCAGGGCACCTGGACCTGCGCGGGCGGCCGACCAGACGACGCCTTCAACTACATCGCCGCCTCGGGAGGGCTCCCTTCCACCGCCTCGTACCCTTACACCGGCATGCCCAGCTCGGACCAATGCAAGGTCCTGAGACGGTCTCTGTTCTCTCCTGATGACAGCGCCCCTGCTGCTGACGCCACGTCTTCTCACCTTGCCCGTCGTCTGCGCGCGGGATGGGGCTCCAGCCTGTTCTGGGGCAGAGGGTCGGATGGAAGCTACTCCATGCCCAGTGAACCCTACCCGATTGCCATGTTCGAGCAAGTGCAGATCCGCGGGTGGATGGGGATTGCCATTGCAGTGCAGGCTCAGCCTGTGGTGGTGTATGTGGAGGCTCGGTCCGACTCTTTCATCAAGTTTGTCGGGGTACGTTTGAGCACGCTGCGTTGCATAGCATTCTTGCTGCTGTTTTGTTGTTCTGCGTGTTTTTTTTTTTTTTTTTTTTTTGCTCATGTGTTCTGCTTTGTGCGGGGTGTTGTATGCAGGGATTTGTGTACAACGATCCTGATTGCTTCTCCACTCAAGTCGTGGACCATCTGGTGGTGGTGGTGGGGTTCAACCTGCTGGACGCCACGCCCCACTGGATCATCCGCAACTCATGGGGCCCGACGTGGGGCGAGAACGGCTACATGAAAATCGCCATTGCCGGCGGCCCGGGCATCTGCGGCATGAACACGCTGCCGGCTCTCTACCCTGTCCTCTCAAGTACGACGCAAAGAGGATGAGCTGTGTTTGTGAATCTAAGCATTTTTTAGATTTAATCAACAGTATGAGCACTGCTCTTCACCCATATTCCGAGCCGCAACCCGTTGCAAAATTCGGTCTCTCTGTTCCCCGCTGTGCCGTCTTTGCCTCTTATCGAACCTCTACTCTCTCCTCTTCCTCCCGCTTCCCACCTGCCCCCTCTTCCCACCTGCCCCCTCTTCCCACCACCTCGTTCCCATTTTCCCGTGCACCTCCCCTCCTCAACCGTGCTCCGTTCCCTCCAGCACCGGACCCATGCTCGCCCATCAACCCGTGCGGCAGCGGCACGTGCACACCGCTCAAGCCGAAGCAGAATGGCGGCATGCGCAACAAGTGCACGTGCCCCTCGGGATTCACCGCCGTCACCAACCTCGACAAGACACAGTCCTGCGCTGTTGGTACGTGTATTGGGAGTTACTATTTAGGATTCCCCAAACCACCAGGTGCACGTGCCCCTTGGGATTCATCGCCGTCACCAACCTCGACAAGACACAGTCCTGCGCTGTTGGTACGTGCGCTACGGGCCATGAAACCATGAAACGTTACGTTTTGTTTCGTTTTGTTTTGTTTTGGGTTCACATTTGAAACCAGAAGTGTTTTGCTTTTCCATGACCTCTGACCCTCCTGTCCTTCCCCCCTCTCCCTCCCACCTACCCCTCTCCAGCGAGTGTCTGCTCCTTCTCTGCACTCAACCCCTGCGGCTTCGGCACGTGCATGGACGACAGCAAGGGCGGCTACTCGTGCCTCTGCTCGCCGGGCTACGTGCTTGGGCGTCGCACCGATGCATCTGTGACGTGCATTCCTGGGAGCGTGATGGTGAAGGTGACTCTGCAAGTGAACATGACATGCAACCAAGTCCGCTCCACCTTCCTTATCTCCAACGAGGAGTTCTCCTCCCTCAATCCCGTGAGTTCCCTTCTCTTGCTCCTCTCTTGCTCCTCTCTTGCCCCTCTCTTGCTGCCATAAGCACACCTCCCTTGTGTCCATGACTCTTCTTCGCGTATTGCCGTCTCCTCTCCTGCTTGGCTTGCTTGCTCGTCCTCCCCTCCCTGTTTCTCATCCAATCAATCCGTCCCTGTCTCCCGGTCTCTCTCTCACTCCTTTTTCTCCTCTTTTTCTCCTTTACTCCTTGTTCTCTTTTTCTCTTTCTCTCCAGGGCATTGATTGTCCAGGAACCATTCCCGCAGGCACCGTACTGGTCGTGCAGAACGCAAGTACAGCAGCCACAGGCTGTGTCGTGCCCTACACAATCGTCGATGTACGTACTTTTAGCTGCATGACATGCCTCACACACAATGACACACCTGCACTGCCATGCACTTGAATACACAATTGTCGACGTGCGTACTTCGCTGCACGCCTCCCGCACCCACTCCTGCACTCGCACTGCCATGCTCTCTCCTTTGCTGCTCTTCCTTGCTCTGCCATGCCCTGCTCTGCTCCCTTCTATCCGCTTTTTTTACTCCTTCGGTCTCCCCTCCTCTCCCCCTCTCTCTTCTCTCCTCCCTACCCCTCCCCCCTTTCAAACACGGCTCAAAACACCCCTCGTTGCTCCTTGATCGCCACCAACAATCCGCATTCTGATCTTCCTTCCCCTCTCTTGACCCCTCCCCTGCTCTTTGGCTTCAATCGATCAGGGCGACACATGCACGCTCGTAGCCAGCACCTTTGGGCTCACACTAGCAGAGCTTGCCACTGTCAACCCAGGCCTCAACTGTGACTTGCTCACTACGGGACAGCAGGTAACCGCCTGTTCCATAGCTTTGTTCTCTTTTTTTCTCTCCTTTTTTGTTTTTCCCCGAGGGTTTCCAATATCTGGCAAAGCTGCTCCTTCCGTTCCTCCTTACCCAGTTTTCACCTTTCTCACCGTTTTCCAATCCTCCCCTCTCCGCACACTCCTGCTCCCCCTCCCCGTCTTCTTCCCCTCCCCTACACCCCACGCCAGGTGTGCATAAAGATGGGTGCGCCGCTCCCTCAAACGTGCCTCAACTCGTACACAGTCAACCCCGGGGAGACGTGCAACGACGTCATGCTCAACACGTACCCGCCCATCTCAGCCACGCAGCTCTACCAGTACAACCCTGGCCTCATCTGCTCTGCTGACGGCTCGCAACGCCTCGTTGGCCAAGAGGTGAGAGGCTAGGAGGAGGTGTGGGGTGGAGTTCAGAGAGTTTCCCTTCTTCCGCTTCATCAATTCTCTACCCCCTCTCGGCCACCCTCTCTAACCCTTCTCCTCCTCACCCCATCCCCACCCCCTATGCCTTTCCAGCTCTGTGTGAACTCAGCACCTATTGTCGGAGCATCGTGCACATACGGAACGTATACAGTGGTCATGGGAGACACGTGCGGCGGCATCATTTGCAAGATCTGCAAGTGCAATAGCTCGGCTTTCAACAAGTATAACTACCCTACGTGTGCACGTCCGGGAGTCTCTACGTAGGGAGAGTGCTCTGCAAATGTCCCCCGTAAAACCTGTTATCAAACTTCTGAGGCGCCTCAGTTCAGCAGTCGTGCTGCGGTGTGGAGGGACGGAAGGTGCGGAGGATGGTGGTGTTGGGGTGCGTTGTGGCGTTGCGAGGTGACTGTTCGGCTGAGTTTGACACCTACCAGTCATGCATCATGCAAGCATTCGGAGGCCTCGGGATCTGCTCGCTGGTCGTGGTCGGGCTTTTTCTCGAGCCTTCACTTCATCCTTTGATTTTTTACTCCCCAATTGTTTTTCCATTCGCTTTCTTCCGGAGAGTTTGCACCTTGGTGCGGTAGCGCACGCACTCTTTTCTCCTTCGGAGGATTATATTATTTCGTTCGTTGACCTTTAGTAAGGCTGTGGTACTAGTAGTATCTGTGTTTGAACATCCATATAGCCCACTGCATTTTGTGTGGGTTTTGTATAATTGCTGGTAATAATTATTTCATTGTGTGCAAGCTGAGCTGGCTGGTAGAAACTGTACCCTCCAAAAAGGAAGGAAATACCTTATGAAAGCCAGCATGCACTTAGCCAAGCTGAATGTGGCATGCAGTGAACGAGCACATGTGACTTCTCTGCAACAGTTCTGGATGCTAGTGCACTGTTTATCCCAAATGTTCTATAGCATGTCCTACGATGCATCCCCACAAATTCTCCTGCTTGCTAGGCAGAGATCCCACATGGGTCTCCCTCAGTTCTCCTCTCCCCTCGCTCAACTCAACCCCTCAAAAATCATCTGTTTGTGCGCTTTTCCCGATTCCTTTCCGGGTTCCATTTGAACACTCTCAACATAATCACCTCCTGTTTGCTCACATCCTCCCTGCCACCACCACCCTGACTTCTATCACCACTACTACGGCTGTCACCGCTGCAGCGATCATTGTCACTGCCACCATCACCACTGCCAGCGTTGCCACTGCCACCATCACCGCTGCCCCCTCTCCCACTCCGCCCACCACCATCCCCACCACCACTACTGCTGCCATTGCAGCTCTGCCTGCCATGCTTAATGTCACCCCTCTCTCCACCTTCACCAATACATGCCTCTGTGATTCCAGTCCCTGACACGTCCGTCTGAAGGCCCAAATGGCTTTTCTCGTCAGCTTCCTCATCCACATATGCAATCAATAGTTTCTGCAAACCGCAAAGGTGGACCAGGGGAAGAAAAGAAGGGTAGGGAAGGATTCAGAGTAAGGATTGCACACGACAATCGGGCTGGGTTGGGTCTATCTAAAGGAGGAAAGGATAGAATAAAAGGAGGTTGTGCAGTGCTCTGAACGGCTATTTGAGTGGAAGACACTCCTTTTCTATGCATGCAATCAGTGGTTTCTGCATGAATCAGGAGCAAATGGGAGCAGCTATCATGGAACGAGCGAAGGGGGTTGTGAAGTATAACAAACCATTGCCTCTTGCAGCATGGTTTATTGCCTGCCACAAGGACTTACTTACGCCTACGCACACACGCTCTTACTGGATTGGACAGAATCAGCAAGACAGGCACGAAACAGCGAATAAGCGAGGCCGCAGCGCACCTTGGCAACAGTGGAAGCGAGGCGAACAGTGGCATGTAGGTCGTTCCATGTTGGAACTGGGTTGCTGAGCCCTGGACCATTGACCAGAACCATGAAGCTGCACCGCAAACCATGGCAGCATGCACAGAGAGTGTGCAGGGGAGAAGTGGGTAAAATGAGAGTATGAGAGGGGTAGAATAGGGGAAGGGAGAAGCTGGAAGAAAGCAGAACGGGCTGAGAAGACGCACGCATGCATGAGAACAAAGATTTCAAACAGCAAAGGAGGAGTGCAAAAAACCAGCAGGTCATGCAGCAGACGCAATGGATAAACAGCAGTATCGGACTTACTTGGAATGCACGAGTGCAGGGTGGTGTTGGTACGCTGTGAAATGGCTGCCAAACTGCAACCCCGGTCGCACCACCCAGTTTCTCCCTCTCAGCTGCCCATACACTGCTGCCATCGCCCCAAACCCTCTCCTCCACACCTCACCATACTGCACTAGCTCCTGCGCTTTTACCTCCTCCCATGTTGCTGTTGGTCCAAGGGAATGCTCATCTCCCCTGCTGCTATCTCTGCTAGCACTACCGCTCCGGTTACCATCCCCACCACTACAATCTCTCTTGGTGACATCTCCTGTGTTGCTGGTCCGCTGAAACCCTAACTGCTGGCTTGGTGCGGCTGCTGCAGGCTCGTCCCTTCGTTCCTTGATCTGCTGCTCCGAGCTTCGTTCGGAATCCAATTCACGCATTGTATGCATGTTGTCACCATGGTCCACATACACCATGCATTTGACATGACCGCACAGAAACACCAGCTCTTCAAGCGACAGCAAAACTATGCGAGATGGAAGCTCGTTGCTTGATGGCCTGCTGATTCTGGTCGTATCGAAGCTAGCAACGCTCCCTGTCTTGGTGCAACTCTGCAATATTTGGCGAAGTGAGGGGAGCATACCGAGCGCAACGCCTGCTATTGTCACGGTTGTTACTGCCACTAAGGCCACAGCAGCACTGGCAGTACCAGCAGTAACAGTGGCGCCTGGGGTGGGCGCAGTAGCAGCTGCACGAAAGCCTGAAAGCCAATCCAAGTTCACACTCGTGCCTCTCCTGGCTCGGAGAAACAACAAAAGAAGTGTTCCCCCTGCTGCTGCCACTGCTGCTGCTGCTGCTGCTGCTGCCGATGAATAACTTGTCCCATCCTCCTTGGCTGCAACAGGAACAGGGGACGAGATAGGACTTGCTTGGCTGGTTGGTCATTGTGAGAGTGGCATTGGGCTGCCTTTTCCCATCACAACACAGCTGTTAATCAACTAAGGCTGAGACCAACTCGTGCGTAGCAACATTTGGGTCCAGAAGGGTGACAGGCATTATGCAATCCAGAGACAAATGACATATTCGACCATTATTTGCTAGCACGGTGGTGAAAAAATTTACCTGCTCGTGCTGCTGAGTCGTCCTGTTGATTAACATTTGCAGCGCTCTCTGTCTCCTCCCTTAACTCAGCCTCCCCGGCTGCTCTCAAGTCATTAATGGGTACCATCTCTACCGTCGGTTCACTCATTCTTGTTAGCCCACCGCCCCAATCCCCCATCTCTCTCCCGAACGCGGCAGCTTCTAACACAGCCGCTTGGGTAGCGGTTACTTCTGCGACCACCGCTCCGTCAACCAAATGAACTCTCAAAGGCCCTAGACTAGCCAAATCCTCCAGCAGCGATGGCATCGGTTGTGCCTTGGCTGCTTTCGCAGCTCCTTTGACCTTCCATTTCGCCAGAGGAGTTAGCGCAACGGAGGCTGGGGGTCGCATCGCGCTTGCCGGACCGCACTGGGGAGACGCGGACACAGCTGGAAATGACGAAAGTGCGGAGTGAGGACCCGACCCTAGCACACAAGTCGCGGCGAGAAGTTCGTGACTTCGGACAAGCTCTCGCCAAACAAACAACCCGAATTGCTACCTCCTGGCATATTTTTTTTTTTTTTGCAGGGTTTAGTTATTACAATGTAGCATAATTACGCAAGGAAAAGGAGTGGAAACGGGAAGAGAGGAGAAAAGGAGGAATAACGTGAGTAGAAAAAAGGAGAGAGGAAGAAAGGAGGAGGGGAATAGGGGAAAAATGATAGGAGGAAGAAAAACAGGGAAGAAGGAAGAAAAAGCAGCACACACAACCCCAAGAAAACCCCAATAGCACACACATTTAAAACACCATCAAGCCCTCCCATCAAAGCACCCCAACTGCACTCCCATCGAACCAAACCTCCCCCCCTAAACCCACTCCCTAAACCCGCATGTCTACCAAGTATGGTGCATCCGCCCACGGAGCATCCCATCCCATCTCCTCCTCAACATCCTCCCGCTCCACCCAAACAGCCTCTGGGCCTCTCATCATCGACGCCGCGCGTAACAAGATCACACGCGCCTGAGCCCGTTGCAAAGCCACACCCACAGCCGCTTTGAGCGATCCGAGCAAATAAGCCGAGAAACCCTTTCCCGTAGCTCGCGCCGCCCCTTTCGTCTTTGCTATCTCGATCTGCGCGTCACCCTGCTTCTTAAGCCACCGTCCAAAACTCCCCCCCAAGCATCCCCATGTCTCAGCAATGAGTGGTGTGAACTGCACTCCCCCATGCCGCTGTAGAAGCGATTTGTAGTCCGCCGTCTTCCGCTTTTCTCTCTCTCTCGCGGCAAAACCCACCTTGCGACCAATCTGTCCATGGTGCTGCGCGGATAGCGAGATAGGATCTACCACACAGTCAGAATGAAGAATGGATGATGCATTGATGTTGGTTGGGGTACATATAGCTAACCCTAAGTTTTGTACCCCCTAAGACAAACCTCACTATAGGCTACAACATTTGACACACCCCCATAGCCTAAGTGAGGGGTGTCTAGCAGAACCAAACGAGTACGGTCACAAGACCAGTCCAAGAAACAAAGCTCAGGGTGGATCACAACGTCACCACACAGTCTGAGCACAAACAACAGTGGCCACAAGGCCAGTCCAAGAAGTAACAGAGATATATAGAAAGCAAAGTAAACAGTACACTCAAGTCTAAGCAACACGAGAACCAGTGTCAACAAGGCCTAACTGCACACAGCACCTCTGGTGGTCACAAGGCGGAAGCGCCTTGGTGAAGATGTCTGCAGTGTTGGCCTCTGACTCCACAAACTCAAAGCGAGCCTGTCCACGCCTCTGCAACTCTCGCAGAAGAAAGTACCTGACGTGAATGTGCTTCACTCTGCTCTCCAGTCGTGGCTCTCGACAAAGGAGAATAGACGCCTTGTTGTCAGTGAACAAGGTCGGTGCAGAGCTCGGCCGCTCACCAAGGTCGGTGAGCAAGAAGGTCAACCAACGCAGCTCCTGTGCCGCCATGGCACCAGCGTAGATCTCAGCCTCAGCTGTAGAGGTCGAGACCGAAGAGGAGCGCGTGGACCGCCAGGAAACAGCTCCAGAACCTAGGCTGAAACAGTAACCCTGAGTAGACCTGTGAGTCTCAGCGTCGTCAGCGTAAGAGGAGTCACAGTGACCAGTAAGTACGACAGACTGCTGTCCTCCAAGAACTAGCCCCACGCCTGATGTCGTCGCTAGGTACTTCGCCACCCTCACAGCTGCTGTCCAGTGAACAGGACGGTGTCTCCCTGGCGCAACAAAGCGTGCAAGGATGCTGAGAGGGAAGGCGAGGTCCGGGCGAGTACAAGTCATCAGGTACATGAGGCGACCCACAAGCTCTGCGTAGGGACCACTAGGCTCGAACGGCTCGTCAGGAAAGGGTCCAGTGAGTCTGTGGTCAACAGCAAGAGGTGTGCGCTGTACTGTGGAGTGCTGAAGCCCGAACCGCTGAAGGACCTGCTGCACCATGTGCGACTGTGAAAGTGTAATGGTGCGAGCAGCTCTGTCCCTGGTGATCTGCAGGCCAAGGTAGTGGCGCAGCTCACCAAGATCAGTGCAGGTGTGTCTCTTCTGCAGTTCGGACTTCACGTGTGCCAAAGCAACCCTGTCAGGGGTGGCGAAAACAAGGTCGTCAACGTAGACCAGAACAAAGAAAGGTGTGGGGCCACGACGAACGAACAGCGACGGGTCAGCAGAAGACGGCTGGAACCCAAGGTCAGACAAGGTAGAACGCAGGGTGTCGTGCCACTCACGAGGAGCCTGACGAAGACCGTAAACCGGTCGCCTCAGCCTCCACTGGGTCCCAGGAGGGAAAGAGCCAGTGAAGGCAGAGGGACGACGCAACCAGACCTCCTCGTGAAGACTGCCCTGAAGGAAAGCAGTAGAGAAGTCGAGAGAGTGTAACTCGTAGTCTCTCTGTGCTGCTACGTGTAGTAACACCCGAAGAGTGGTCATCTTCGGGGTGGGCGCGAAGGTCTGAAAGAAGTCAACTCCCTCGCGCTGACTGAAACCTCTAGCCACGTAGCGCGCCTTGAAGACCGGAGGAGATCCCGGTGGCCGCTTCACCCTGTAGATCCACATGCCGTCGACTACGTTCGCCCCCGGAGGGGGAACCTCATCGACGTAGGTGCCTGTGGATCTGTAGGAGGCCATCTCTGCGTCCATGGCAGCTCTCCACTGAGAGGCCCAAGGCCCTGACACTGCCTCAGCGTAAGTGCGAGGAGTCGGAATGTCAAGGGCGTCGGGGTCACCCTCAGGGGCGAGGAGCATGGCACAGAGATGAGGGGAAGCGGCCGCCAGGAACTCTAGCTCAAACTGCCTGTCCTCTAGGGCGTCACAGCCAAGGGCAGACACACCCCCGACGGCCAGAGGACTGGAAGGAGGAGCAGCCACAAGAGCGGTGGCGAAGTCAAGGCGGCGGGTAGAGGCAAACTCAGTGACTGCGGCAGTAAGAGCGGACACAGAGGACACAGAGGCACGAGGGTGGGTAACAAGAGAGGCGAGAACACGAGAGAGAACAGGACGGTACGTGCGGTAGTAGTCAGTGACAGGAGAAGGAAGCGACACAGTGAGGGCCGACTCAGGAGGAGACGGAAGCACAGACGGAGACGGACGAGGTGGACGAGAACAAAGGAAGGCTGTACGAAGGTCAGTGAAGGGAACAGGAGACGAGGGACGAGCACGAGGGGAGCGACGAGAGGCCCAAGTCTGAGAAGGAGGAGGAGACAACGAAGACTGAGAACGAGGGAAAACAGCGGGAGAGGGGTCAGGAGGAGGAAGCGGAGGACCAGAGACGGGAGGAGAGGGGGAGGAGGAAGGAGAGGGAGAGGGGAGACCAAGGGTCCGAAGACCCGAGACAGGAGGAGGAGACGGCAGCAGCTGCTGCTGCTGCTGCTGCGGCTGCTGCGGCTGCTGCTGCTCCAGCGGCTGCTGCCTCTGCTGCTGCTCCTGCTGCTGCTCCTGCTGCTGTCGCTCCTGCTCCTCGAGCCGCTGCAACTCTCTCTCCTCTCTCTCCAACTCCAGCTGCTCCTCACGAGCACGGCGAACACGAGCCTGGAACCTGGTCGGGTAGGGGTGGGGGGAAGGAGTAGTGTCCGGGGCAGCCCCAGAGTCGACCTCCGAAGCACCAAGCACACCACCCCCAGAGGCAGCACCAACACCAGCTCCAGACCCAGGCTCTCCAGAAACCGAAGGGACACCCTCACCCCCAGACGCAGCACCCCCAGACTCCGCACCAGCACCCCCAGACTCCGCACGACCAGTACCAGCCCCCGGAAGACAAGAGTCCTCTGCAACCCGCGGCTCAGCTCCAACTCCAGCACCCCCAGAACCAGAGACCTGTACAGGGACAGTCGCAGGACCAACCTCTCGAGAGGGAGCACCTGCAGGAGGCGGCGAGGAAGACTGTGGGGAGGGAGGCTGTACAGGGGGGGCTACCGAAGGGGGAGGGCTAGCCTGAGACACACCAGACGGGGCTGGACCAGGGGGGGGAGGCTGTACCGGGGGAGCAGGCGGGGGAGCGGCGGTCAGGAAGAGAGGGGGGGGAGGGACCGGGAGACCTCGACTGGGGTACCTGACGTAGTAGGGGGTGGACTCCTCGAAACGGACGTCACGGGAGTCAAAGAACCGGTGAGAGGGAGGGTGGTAAAAGGTGAAGTCAGAGGAGTCCTCAGGGAAACCAAGGAAGACACAAGGAACGGCGCGAGGCGAGAGCTTGTCCGCGGAGGTGTCGCGGACAAGAGCCAAGCACCCCCAGACACGAAACCTCGACGCGACACCAGGGGACCCTGTCCAAAGACTGGTCGGTGAAGCCTCCGGCCGAGAGACGCGTGGCCAGAGGTTCAGCTGGTGCGCGGCGTACCTGACCGCGTATGGCCACAGGAAATGGGGGGCACGGGCGTGAGTCAAGGAGGTGCGGGCAATCTCCATGACCAGGCCTATGCGACGCTCAGCAACCCCATTCTGCTGTGGGGACTCCGGAAGCGTCCAGGACTGACGAATGCCCTGTTCGCGACAGAATCCAGCGAGAATGCCGGAGCGAAACTCGCCCCCGCGGTCGGAGTGGAGACAGCTGACACGACGACCACGAGTGTCCTGGGTGGTAAGCAACCACCTGATCAGCGTAGAAGTCACCTCAGACTTCCTCGCCAGGGGGAAC